CAGTCAAAATATAAACAAGTTACTGTTAATTTATTGGTAACAAATCCACTAACAGTTGCCTAATCCACCTATGATTAGATGCAGATTTAGATCACAAGATGCTCGCCCCTTTCAATTCTGGCTAGCCATCAACAAATCACTATAAATTGGATTCAGAACAAACTGTGTTATAACTATTTTATTATCTGCAAAAATATTTTTTATATTTGCATTCATTCATTACTGCTCATTTATTTTTTTATGCAATAATAAAAGTGGGGTGTGAGCTTAAAACTTTATATATATTATTCAAATCTATACCAATATTTGAACCACTAGGATCAGTTTATTAATGAAAGATTGAAGTAATATACAAAGGGTTTTAACTTTGAATGTTAATATTGTTATTATAATTTTTTATGTATAAAAAAAATTAGTACTACTAGTCTTTTTCTTTCTTTTTTATACTACAACAAATGTAAGAAAATTACCAATTTAGCCATTAACTAATCTCTTATAAAAAAATATTTATTACTTATAACATTTTTAACCACATATTTTCATTCACTAAATTAAAATATGAAACCTTAATTTAAAACCATACATAGCATTATAAAACCATTGATAAAATTCCCTTTTTTTCCTTTTTCCATATTACAGGGCCATACTTTGTCTGACAGAGACTTCCACTGATGAAGCTTAATACTCATTCATTGCCTGTAAATTGGAACGGTAATTTTCTCATGTCACCTAGCAACTTATATAATTTTTTTAATCATCTTTCGCTTTTATAAGTTAGGTCCCTTTAACAACTAAATTAAAACTAATTATATTATATTATATAAATAAATAAATAAATAAAAGAAGTTGAAACTTTGAGGGCAAGCTGAGAATAATAAATAATGAATGAAAACAGGAAAGCAAACAGCCAATTCATTTAAAAAAACGTATAGTTGCGGAAAGGTAGTGTGCAATCAATACTCGTCACCTCATGTAATATTTTTATATTTTTTAGTAAAAGCACAAAAATCAAGTTCGTTCTTATCGCATCCTAATTTCTTTAACATTTTTCTTTTTTGGTCACTTCAATAAAACAATTTGAACCAGGATGACCTTCTAACTCATTTTAAATTACTTTTAAGTTCATTGCGATTTTTCGTTTATTATAGAGTTCTGTGTATAATAATAAAATAGAACAACATGTACTGTTTGCTTGGAGAGATGAAATGGGTAGGATTCGAGTATAATATTACAATATGTTGGATAATAATTTTAATATCTCTCTTTAATCATAAAAATTCAACTCTACCATAGAGTTTTGGATAAATCATGAACATTATTCGATCAATTGAGTTACATCCTTTTAATAACTTAAATTTGTATCGTTATTTGTTAAATTCTATATGTTTAATTATAAGTCATCATAATATTTAGTTAATTTGATCATAAATTTTATTATCGATATAAATTTTCATTATCTATTAATTTGATAAAACAATATAAATTTTATTATGTTATTAATATTAATTTTGAAAAAAATAAAATATTGATCAAAGTAAACATACAATTAAAATAAATTTTAATTTTAATATTTTATATTATAAAGATTGTTTTGATATGAAATACTACCTCTAGAAAATCTTAAATTTACTACAAGTCCATAACACCAAGTGAACGTAGACTAACCTAAGAATTCGTACTTTAAATAGTTGTTTACTTCTTATTAAGAGATTTTGAGATTTTCAAAATTGTCAATTCTAGGCAAATTCATGCTCCATGTTGTTTGTGAGGCAAAATAATTGTATTAAGAAAGAATTTTTATATTGACATTTAAAACACTATATAACTAACCACATCATCAAGTGGTGAGAAAAAAATTTAGTATTTATTATTGGTCAGATTCTCCTCTCAACATTTAACATATGCAAGGTGTAGAAGTAGACATGACAATCTAACCTGCCCCGTGAATACCCGTCCGAACTTGCCTCGATTTGGACGAGAAAAATCTGTGTTTATCAGGTTTAGATTCGGGTTCGAGTTTTCCTCGATTGATAAAATTGGGGGCGGCGACGGGATGTCAATGCCCGCCCCGCCCCGCCTCGCTTAATAATATAATTAAAATTTTATATATATAAACTAAAATTAGAAATATTTATATGTAAAAATTTGTATTATCTTACTTTTCTTTTATTTTTAATTTTTTTTCATATTTATTAGAAATAAAAAAGAAAAAAATAAAAGTAAAAAGGTAGGAGCGGGGGTGGGAGCGGGGTGAGAAAACCTGAACCCCACCGGGAACAGAAATGAGTACACAGATTTTACTTCCGGCGGTCCCCGCCCGTGCCCCGCCCGTTACCATGCCTATATAGAAGTTGGATCAAAATCTCCTTTTGACATTTAACTAAAAAAAGATACTTGTCCACCAATCTCAAACGTACAAGATACAGAAGTTTGATCGAAATCTCCTCTCAACATTTAACTAAGAGGAGACACTTACTACCAACCTTAATCATGCAAGGTGTAAAGATTGTAAAAATTGAGTCTATTTTTCTTCTAACAACATTTAATCAAGAAGGAATAAAGATATTTGATGAGAGGAAGAGTAAATACGATATATCAATTAAGAGTTCTAACAAAAAGAAAAAGTTAATAAGACTATAAGGTTGTTGTAAAAAAATAAAGATAAAAATTTAAAAAAAAACCAAAAATTATAAACTCAAATGTTCCTACTTCCGTTTATTTTTAAACATAAAATTTATGCATTTCCAAATTTTTTTTAAAGAAGCTAAAACTTATAAACTTATAAAACTAATGCATTTTTAAATTAAAAAAAATCAAAATAGAAAGAAAAAATTAGATAGATTAAAATCAAAGTTAAAAAGTTTTAGGGTGAGGAAAACTTATTTTATCCTTAAAAAAATTTAGAGAATAAAAAGTGGTATTAATAGTGAATCTTAAAAGTAATTGTGATAAGTTTATGAATTGTAACCTGGGAGTTTCAAACAGGCATGATTCCATTAAGCGCTTAAAATAAGCATGTTTATTGGGAAAAGATAATTACAGCATTAAAGAGGCGAAGGCACTCAATTTTATAGTCCAGCATGTGCAACCACTAACAACCATTGCTACTTCACCACATGATCTACTTAGACGCAACACCTATATTTATATTACTATTTTACTAAATATTAAGGAGTAAACTCTACGCAAAATTACATTAATTTATTTAAAATAATCTATAGTTTTAAGAGAGAAATCACAGTGCTGAATAGTTCAAGTATTTGAAAGATTATATTATAATCACTGTAATTATTATATTATAATTAAAATAAATGATTTTGATCATTTAAATTATATTCTAAACTTATGATAAATATTTTCTATTACAATAAATTTTTTTAATTTGATATTTTCTTAAAAATATTAAAATTTAATTGAAATATAAAAATAATAAGTTGAAACATGTAGGAGGTTACAAAACACTCTTTTTTGATTTCTGCTAATAAAAACAAAACCCTATTTAGGATATTAAAACTCTCGCTAACTCTATTGTTACACCTGTTTAGTCTTATGCTAGTTGCGACTTGAATTTTGATAATCATATTCTCTAATTTTTGGGTAATGCACAAATTTTACTATAAATTTTCACCAAAATTGATAGTCTTCTTTAATACTTTTTCTTATTCTAAACTTTTTGTAGATAAAAATTATATTAAATATATTTTGTGAGCGTAAATGTACAGGAAAAATTATGAAAATAACTTACATATATAAAAAAGTTATTCCCCAATTATTTAAATATATTTTTATAAGAACTCGTAAAAATAACTCATAACTTACATGAAAAATAATTTGACTATTTTCTTTTTAATTAAATAGAAACAATTTACACATGATTAAATACTTGTTTAATAATTGTTCAATTTAAATCTTTATCAAAATTCTTATTTAAAATGTTCCACAAAGTCATTAAATTTTTTCATTTTTATTATAAATTATGATCAGGAGTTGAAGTTGAATTTAATTTCTTCTATCATTTCATCTGGATTTGTATTGAAATAACGTAAATGATTCGTATTTTTTTTTGATAATATTTTTAAAAAATTAATAATAATTTTTTTTAAAAAAAATATCTTATTTAAAATTTTAGTTTTAAAAGTTGTGTATAAATACATTATTGTTATTATTATTAAAAAAAAGTAAAAAGTGTTTGAGTGGGTCAACAGTTAGGCAGGGGTAGAGATTTGAAAGTGGAAAAGCAGGAGTTTGTACTAGAACATAGAAGAAGCATAAGCACTCTATTTATTTATTTGTTGGTTTCATCATCATCTCATCTATATCTCTCAATTTTACTTTCCTTTAGAAGTGGAGGGAGAATTTATGAATGCCTTGCTTTACAATTTATTCCACTCATAAATAAAGCTTTGTTTAAGCCTCACAAAAGCCAAAGTGCGGGTCACAGTTCATTTTCCTTTCATTTTCCCATTTGTTTTTTTTTTTTTTTACTAAATCCTCCATATAAGATTTAAAATATTTAGTTAAAAGAAGAGACTATACAAAAACATAGTTATTAACAAGATACTTCATACTTATGACATAAAATTTAAATAATTTCAGGAACAAAGTTAAAGTAATTTTTAAAGCAAACACTTGAGTTTAATATAAAAAGTTGCATTTTAAAATAATGTTAATTTGTTACAAGTGGAGAGGTTTGATTAAAATATAAAGTAAAATGATATGTATAAGTCGAAAGATGGAGTGATGCTTATTAGTTACAATTGATGCCATAATCCTAAGTTGCTATGAGCTATAATGATATTGTCATACATGGCTTGCCTTGAGAGACTCTCTACCATGCCTTCCATTTCCTTTCCAGGATAGTTTCTTTGTTTCTTGGCAACCTATTTTACTTTTTCATTCACCTAATAAAATCATATGGTAACGTGTGGTGATTCTTTTCTTTTTTTTTCTTTCTTTTTTCCCCTTTGTCCATATTCACACATTATTATATATTTTTAAATGGAGGAAAGAAAAAGAAAGCCCCTCCCAACAACTTTAATACTATTTTATACATTTCTCCACCAGATTCCAACCAAAACCAAATAATTATTTCCGTTAAAATATTATTTCCCTCATTAAATAATTATTCACTAAAATATTTTTTAATACCCCCAATTCAGTATATCTCCTTTTCCATCTGTTTATTTTTTAATCTCAATTTGGACAGTCTTAGGAAAGTTAGGAACCCAATTACCTGAACAACAAAAACAAGGATTCATTTTATCTGCCCATTTTCATTTCCCTTGGAAACTCAAAATATTTCAAATTTCACTCTTTCTTTCTGCACAATATTTTTCCCATCTATTTTCTCTAAACTCACATATTATTTTCTCCCACAAAAATTAAGCTCATAATTTTTATTTTTTTCTGGGCATCCAATCCTGCTAATTTATTTTTAGTGACAAATTTTATCTAAATGGTGCAAAGTTGAAGATTTTTCATATATTGTTTCATGCCCAGCTTCTGAAGCTAGCTTTTAATTCGATTTTCTCATTTTTCTGGCTTAAATTTTTCATCTTTCTGAAAAATTATTTCCCAGCATAGTAGCAGAGCTTTTGGGTGATTGAGTTTGAAGAAGAAAAAAAAATGAGATATTGATGTGTGGTTTTAGTTTATGGTATGCGTAACTACTACTTCACAAGTGTTTGAACATGGAGGCCAGTGGCGGTGTTAGCGGCGGTGTTACGGTGGTGGGATCGGATGCTCCGTCGGACTACCATGTAGCTCCGAGGACCGAAAACCCGGCTCCGGCCGGCGGATCCACGACGCAGATTCCGGCGACGGCGGGGAGTGCTCAGCCGCCGCCACATCCGCCGCACACGGCGGCG